ATATATATATGTCGTACCTAGTAGCCAGAACTCACTTCTCAGCCTACTATGCAAGGCCCGATTTGCCTAATAAGCCAAGTTTTCCTGAATTAATATATTTTCTCTAATTTTTTTCTTATGAAATGATAAAGCTTCCCATTTCATTATGTATGAGGTCAATTGTTTTTTATTTGAGATAAAATTAAAGTAGATATATGACCGAACCTAACCAACCCTACCTAACCTAACCTATCTTTATAGGTTAGGTTAGGTAGCCGAAAAAGTTAGGTTAGGTTAGGTTAGATAGGTTAGGTAGTCGAAAAACAATTAATTCATGAAAACTTGGCTTATTAGGCAAATCGGGGCTTGCATAGTAGGCTGAGAAGTGAGTTCTGGCTACTAGGTACGACATATTTATATATATATATATATATATATATATATATATATATATATATATATATATATATATATATATATATATATATCACTAAGAACTCTTTGACCCGGCCAGGATTCGAACCCATGCCGTCCAGGATCCCCCCTGAACGTACACAGTACCGTGACCACCGCACCAATGATCGTCTATAAGGATTGGTATTTAATTGATGGGCCTCGACTCAACCTCGTGTCATGTAGCCATTTTGTTCCTCCTGGTGCACCTTATCCCCAAGAGCAGTTTTCTTAATGTGCTTTTAATTGCCATGGATACTGTCACGCATCCCTACTTGATTTTTAATGGTTTTCTAATGCGCGCTGCTTTTTAATTGATGGGCCTCGACTCCATCCTGACGGCATGGGTTCGAATCCTGGCCGGGTCAAAGAGTTCTTAGTGATATATGGCTTGCGCGTTCATGCAGCTTTCTCACATATATATATGTGTGTGTGTGTGTGTGTGTGTGTGTATGTCGCACCTAGTAGCCAGAACGCATTTCTCAGCCTACTATGCAAGACCCGATTTGCCTAATAAGCCAGGTTTTAATGAATTAATTGTTTTTCGACTACCTAACCTAACCTAACTTATAAATATAGGTTAGGTTAGGTTAGGTAGGGTTGGTTAGGTTCGGTCATATATCTACGTTAATTTTAACAGCAATAAAACAAAATTGACCTCATACATAATGAAATGGGTAGCTTTATCATTTCATAAGAAAGAAATTAGAGAAAATATATTAAATCAGGAAAACTTGGCTTATTAGGCAAATTGGGCCTTGCATAGTAGGCTGAGTACGATGTTCTGGCTACTAGGTACAACATACATATATATATATATATATATATATATATATATATATATATATATATATATATATATATATATATATATATATATATATATATATTGTGACGGTAACGCGTTGGTGTTCGGCTGTTCAAAGCTAGGGGTATGGCCTCGTCACATAGAATAAAAAAAAATAGAAAATCTGGAACTTCGTCTGAGGTAAGGTAAGGAGAAGACACACAAAACACAAGTAAATTTTAACAATGGAATTTTAATTACGTTAGATAAACAAAACATGAATAAGATGGACATACAAATTCGTATAATAAAATCAATCAATCAAAATAATAAGAATAATTAAATGGCAAAAATGAAAAGTTACGTTAAGACAAGTGAGCAATAACAAGCTGTGCAATATACAATAAAATGAGAGGTGCGGGAATATTGGCTTCAAGCTATCACCTCTCTTAGTACACGTAAGCCAAAGCTTCGTCTACCAGGAAGACGTGTTAACCGTATGAAAGCACTGAATATTCTGAGGACTGAGGTCATGGCGGCCCCAGACATCAAGTAGTATGGGGGGGTGGAGTGCAGTTGCAGCCAGACCGGCGGCCAATCAGCGAGTAGCCGGCAACAAGACAGGTAGTTTGGCGGTTTGAGGCTGAGCAGGTGTCCCTGGCTGCATACGTTTTGCGCTCTGGCAAACCTTGGAGATGATGTTGTCGTTGTTGGACATTTCTTCCATAGTAGTTTTATATATTTGTTGCGACGTATTTTTGGAGGGAAGAGCAGGCTCAATCTCTTGAAGGAGATTATCGTCACAATATATATATATATATATATATATATATATATATATATATATATATATATATATATATATATATATATATATATATTACAACACACAGGAACTTTAGTGAAACGTGGAACCGTGAACTCCTAACACATTAGAAAACAAGCCAGCTAGGACGAGTCCACAAGCCAGCTAGGACGAGTCCACAAGCCAGCTAGGATGAGTCCACAAGCCAGCTAGGACGAGTCCACAAGCCAGCTAGGACGAGTCCACAAGCCAGCTAGTACGAGTCCACAAGCCAGCTAGGACGAGTCCACAAGCCAGCTAGGACGAGTCCACAAGCCAGCTAGGACGAGTCCACAAGCCAGCTAGGACGAGTCCACAAGCCAGCTAGGACGAGTCCACAAGCCAGCTAGGACGAGTCCACAAGCCAGCTAGGACGAGTCCACAAGCCAGCTAGGACGAGTCCACAAGCCAGCTAGGGGGGGGTGGTCCTGTTTACAATGATAGCGCCCACAAGGACCAACATTACAGACGACTACTCAATAAAGACTCCCTCGGTGAATATAATGTTGTGCAGGGCTGGGTAATTATTGTACCTGGAGTGTACCTGAAGGGGGTTGTGAGAGTTCTCCTCCCCAAAGCCCGGCCTGGGCTTACATAACATGGTAAGCCGGAAATTAACCAGAAAATCATTATATGGGTCCGGGGGTAGACACTATGTTAATAATTGTATTAGATCAACTTTCTGGCAACTGATTGTGAGGGTTGAGCTCTGACTCTTTGGTCCCGCCTCTCAACTGTCAATCAATCAACTGATATTATATTCCCCCCCCCTCCACACACACACACACACACTCAGGAAGCAGCCCGTAACAGCCGTCTAACTCCCAGGTTCCTATTTACTGCTAGATGAACAGATGCATCAGGGTGAAAAGAAACTCTGCCCATATGTTTCCGCCGGCGTCGGGGATCGATTCCCGGACCCTAGGATTACGAATCCCGAGCGCTGTTCACTCAGCCATCAGGCCCCAGGGCAGTACAGACACTTCCACCATAAACTCTCAAATAGCAAGAGAAAATGCTCTGAGCCCAGATTCACGAAGCAGTTACGCAAGCACTTACGAACCTGGGGCCAGATTCAGGAAGCAGTTACGCAAGCACTTACGAACGTGTACATCTTTCCTCAATCTTTGGCGGCTTTGGTTACATTTATTGAACAGTTTACAAGCAGTAAAACTTGCCAATCAACTGTTGTTATTGTTATAAACAGCCTCCTGGTGCTTCGGAGCTCATTAACTGTTTAATAATTGTAAACAAAGCCGCCAAAGATGGAGAAAAGATGGACAGGTTCGTAAGTGCTTGCGTAACTGCTTCGTGAATGTGGCCCCAGGTTCGTAAGTGCTTGCGTAACTGCTTCGTGAATCTGGCCCCAGGTTCGTAAGTACTTGCGTAACTGCTTCGTGAATCTGGCCCCAGGTTCGTAAGTACTTGCGTAACTGCTTCGTGAATCTGGCCCCAGGTTCGTAAGTGCTTGCGTAACTGCTTCGTGAATCTGGCCCCAGGTTCGTAAGTGCTTGCGTAACTGCTTCGTGAATCTGGCCCCTGATCTTCAATGCACAAACTGGGTGGTATAGACAGGAGGACAAATATGGTACTTGTGGACCATAGATAAAGTTTTGTATAAGTTTTTTTAAGTTTAAGTTTAAGTTTTAAGTTTAAGTATAAGTTTTTTTAAGTTTAAGTATAAGTTTTTTTAAGTTTAAGTTTTTTTAAGTTTAAGTTTAAGGGAGTTTTGTATTACAGACAGAAACAAAATACAACATACAAGAGAGGGGGACAGGCAGACAGGAACCTTGCAAGAGTACGGATTGTGCGGGGGGGGGGGGGAGGAACTAGTATTTAGAGAAAGCGCCAAGCCATTACGACTATATAGCACTTGGAAGGGGGTCAGGATAAGGATTTGGGATGGGACGGAGGGAAAGGAATGGTGCCCAACCACTTGTGGACGGTCGGGTATTGAACGCCGACCTGCATGCAGCGAGACCGTCGTTCTACCTGGTTGATACCTGGTTGATGGGGTTCTGGGAGTTCTTCTACTCCCCAAGTACCGTCCAGCCCAAGTGGTTGGACTAACCGAAAGCAACAAGCAATATGAAACAATTCATTTATATTTGCCAACATACAAGGTCTACAGTTAAACTTATGAAATAATGTTCATTAACCGCCTTCTGGTGGAATCGAATTCAATATTTTGAGCATTGACAGAAACCCAAACAAGGTGGAGGCGATGAGTCACGATAACGTGGCTAAAGTATGGTGACCAGACCACACACTAGAAGGTGAAAGGACGACCATGTTTCGGTCCGTCCTGGACCATTCTCAAGTCGATTGTGAGAATGGTCCAGGACGGACCGAAAGGTCCTCGTCCCTTCACCTTCTAGTGTGTGGTCTGGTCACCAAGATTATATGGTGTTATGAACCCCAAGTAGCCCAGTGAAGTGAGTCTACAGGTGAGTCTACACACCTGACTAGAGGTTACATCACTACAAGATTACAGGTAAACACCAGTAGATTATGACTAAATACAGACAGGCAGAGGACGAGCATCTTATAAAGATGGAATGAGATGTGGACATTTGGTCACGTGTCTTAACGCGTCGCTTGAGAAGCTACAGTTGTCAGGGAGAGTGGGGAGCCGGTCGGCCGAGCGGACAGTACGCTGGACTTGTGATTCTGTGGTTACGGGGTTCGATCCCAGGCGCCGGCGAAAAACAATGGGCAGAGTTTCTTTCACCCTATGCCCCGGTTACCTAGCAGTAAGTAAAATAGGTACCTGGGTGTTAGTCAGCTGTCACGGGCTGCTTCCTGGGGGGTGGAGGCCTGGTCGAGGACCGGGCCGCGGGGACACTAAAGCCCCGAAATCATCTCAAGATAACCTCAAGAAGGGTCTGAGGTCCAATATAGTGCAATATAGTGCTCAGTAAAGTGTTGGAGTGAAGACTACTTGTTACAAAGTGTGAGGACGGTGCCGAGGACGGTGCCGAGGACGGTGCCGAGGACGGTGCCGAGGACGTCACTTCTCAGTGATGGTGAAGATCTTAGGGTCGGCCTCAAGCCTGTATGGTGCTTGTACTCCAGTGTCGACCCTAATGTGATATATTCTTCAGTAGAGGCAATATAAACTCCACTACGGGTTCACCATAGCCCGTGCTATCTTGAGGTTATCTTGAGATGATTTCTGGGCTTTAGTGTCCCCGCGGCCCGGTCCTCGACCAGGCCTCCACCCCCAGGAAGCAGCCCGTGACAGCTGACTAACACCCAGGTACCTATTTTACTGCTAGGTAACAGGGGTATAGGGTGAAAGAAACTTTTGCCCATTGTTTCTCGCCGGCGCCTGGGATCGAACCCAGGACCACAGGATCACAAGTTCAGCGTGCTGTCCGCTCGGCCGACCGACTCCAAACTTGGAACTTTTATGTTCCAAATAGCACAACGTTTAATTATTATATTAATATACAAAATGCTAGACACAACAGTTGACGGATTCATAGAGCAGACACACAAAATAGAGAATAGCCTGCATGACCAAACAAACCCAGTACTAGATATTATCTTATGAACAAATTCACAAGGGCCGTGACGAGGATTCGAACCTACGTGTGAGAGCATCCCAGACGCTGCCTTAATCAACTGAGCTACGACATGGTCAAAAGAGTTGTAACCAGAAGTTCTACTGAACTTACTGGATCCTGCAGCCTCTCCGAGACACAAACCAGGGTTTACACAACTCCCCCCTGCACTCGAGCTATGTCAATAGACTGTTCTACCTCTTTGCCCTCACTTCATTACACACAGAAATCACAACAGCGTGATGCATCAAGGAACAAATCCACAAGGGCCGTGACGAGGATTCGAACCTACGTGTGAGAGCATCCCAGACGCTGCCTTAATCAACTGAGCTACGACATGGTCAAAAGAATTGAAACCAGAAGTTGTACCTAACTTACTTGTTCATTTGATACATCACGCTATTGTGATTTGTGTGTGTGAACGGAGAAAAGTTATCAATCAATTCAGTGTAAATAATAATAAGATTGACTTGTAAAAATAAATATAGAGCTTGCAGAGGTCCAGAGGGAAGCTGTTAAGACAGCAACTGCCACGGGTCCAGAGGGAAGCTGTTAAGACAGCAACTGCCACGGGTCCAGAGGGAAGCTGTTAAGACAGCAACTGCCACGGGTCCAGAGGGAAGCTGTTAAGACAGCAACTGCCACGGGTCCAGAGGGAAGCTGTTAAGACAGCAACTGCCACGGGTCCAGAGGGAAGCTGTTAAGACAGCAACTGCCACGGGTCCAGAGGGAAGCTGTTAAGACAGCAACTGCCACGGGTCCAGAGGGAAGCTGTTAAGACAGCAACTGCCACGCAAGGAACACAACACTTGACTGCCAAAGCTACAAAGTGTGCTTGATGCATGAGCCTCTGCTGCAATAGTCGCCTCCAACAACCTGGTGGAGCAGACCATCCTACCTACCTTGAGGCTACCTTGAGGTGCTTCCGGGGCTTAGTGTCCCCGCGGCCCGGTCGTCGACCAGGCCTCCTGGTTGCTGGACTGATCAACCAGGCTGTTGGACGCGGCTGCTCGCAGCCTGACGTATGAGTCACAGCCTGGTTGATCAGGTATCCTTTGGAGGTGCTTATCCAGTTCTCTCTTAAACACTGTGAGGGGTTTGCCAGTTATGCCCAGGAGACCTAGCCAGAGACCGGGTCGCAGGGATCTTGAACCCCGGAATGAAGGCAAGGTAAGGGACCCTCTGCGGAGGGTCAGAAAGAGGACCATTTAGGTAAGAGAACGCAGACAACTCTGCAAAAGAAGGAACAAATGACGAAACAGCTGCATCAAACACAACTATCAAGACAAAGAAAAGAAAATCTAAATACCTCAGACTCGTAAATTCATCAAGAACTGTACAAAACCAGTATCGCAGGCCCACCACATTCTGTGGAGACAAGCCTAGATACTGGCGTTATCCCTGACATACTAAAAACAGCAGAGATAGCACTACTTCGTAAAGGAGGAAATAAGGCAGAGGCAAAAAACTACAGACCGATAGCACTAATCTCACAGTGATCGATCTCACAGTGTTCAAGAGAGAACTGGATAAACACCTCCAAAGGATACCTGATCAACCAGGCTGTGACTCATACGTCAGGCTGCGAGCAGCCGCGTCCAACAGCCTGGTTGATCAGTCCGGCAACCAGGAGGCCTGGTCGATGACCGGGCCGCGGGGACGCTAAGCCCCGGAAGCACCTCAAGGTAACCTCAAGGTAACCTCGTATGAACGTTGAAGCGATCATATGAGTCTGAGGAAATGGAATTGGAACAGAAAGCTATACAAGAGATAAGGAAAAATCCGAAATATTTTTACACATACGCAAAATCAAAATCCAAAACCTGGACCAGTATTGGACCGTTAATTACAAATGAAGGTACGTACACAGAGGACAACAAAGAGATTAGTGACATTCACAGTAGCCAGTATGAGGCTATGTTTAGCACACCAATACACAACATGAAAGTTGATGACCCAGACAGCTTCTTTATGAATGACATTCAAGCTCCAGATAATATAATTTACATTAACACGAACAAAAGACTTTTGAAGAAGAAATTGACAACATGCCCCATGCATTCAGCCCTCGGTCTTGACCTCTATAATTCATGCATTCAGCCCTCGGTCTTGACCTCTATAATTCATGCATTCAGCCCTCGGTCTTGACCTCTATAATTCATGCATTCAGCCCTCGGTCTTGACCTCTATAATTCATGCATTCAGCCCTCGGTCTTGACCTCTATAATTCATTATTCAAAAGAAATGTCAAGTACAAATAGTGGTTTCTAGGTCAGCAACTTGCGGCTGTGAATGGGGCTGTTAGAGTGCAACAATGTCCCACCCTAGAGAGCACTAGTGTCTTGACAACTATCATCAGTGGAGGCGAGGAGTCACAATAACGGGGCTGAAATATGTTGACCAGACCACACACTAGAAGGTGAAGGGACGACGACGTTTCGGTCCGTCCTGGACCATTCTCAAGTCCATGACTTGAGAATGTCCAGGACTTGAGAATGTTTCGGTCCAGGACGGACCGAAACGTGGTCGTCCCTTCACTTTCTAGTATGTGGTTTGGTCAACATATCATCATTGGTACAGCGGCCCTAGTTTATAAGGTCCGTGTTATCCAGTCATGTCATGACGGCTACTTTATGGTGTTCTACAAAGCTAAGGTCTTCCGACATGATTACTTCCACATCTTTAACATGTTGTTTCTTTCAACATATTTGACTGCATGTTATATTTGGTGTCCGTTTTGATATTTTCGTCTGCTTCTATAGCTGGAAGTTAGGTTCATGAAAATCATATTATAATCTGTGGCCCATTGAAAGACGTGATTTACATGAGAGTGGAGGTTTGTCGTGTCCTCCATGTTGTCTACTCGCGTGACAATCGTGCCCATGATGATACCGTGCTGTGGTGCGTGTCCTTGTCTAGGGCTCATATTAGCATCACAACAAGTACCGGGGCAAGTACCTTTGGGGACTGAGCTGTTCACAGTAGATGATCCGGGTTTTACTGTGTTGACTATTACACACTGCGTTCTGTTCGCTAGCAAGTTGAAGATCCATCTCCCTACTTTGCCAGTAATTGCCATCATCTCTGCCATCTCATCTTTGCCAGTAATCTCCCTACTTTGCCAGTAATCTCCCTATTTTGCCAGTAATCTCCCTATTTTGCCAGTAATCTCCCTATTTTGCCAGTTTTTCAAGTGGAACATTTTGAGCAGGTAGAACAAGAGAACAAAGGGAGAAACTTAGTACCCAAATGAGCCACAGAGACATTAGAATTTTATTTTCAGTGTCAGAGTAGTTAACAAAGGAAATGAACTAGGGTAGAGATGTGGTGGAGACAGACTCCATACACAGTTTCAATTGTAGATATAATAAAAGCCCAAAAGGCTAAGGAACAAGTAGAGCAGTTGATTGACACTTGAGAGGCGGAACCAAGGAGCCGAAGCTCAACCCCCCACAAGCACCAGTAGGTGAGCACATTGTGTGTGCAATAACACGATGGTGACAGGTGTGGAAAGCTTGGACACAGTATATCACATCTGCATATGTATTATCTCTCGTGGCACCTAAGCCCATGTCACAGTGATCCAGCAACAGTGACAGGCACGAGCGCCCTCCTGTAACACCTTTTTCGCAACAACTGATGCTTTTATACACCTTGGTATACGTTTGAGATGTATATCCTTACAAAATATAGTCTTATTTACCAACCTGTCCTCTTAAAGAGAACGTCGCTTTTGGCCGTTTTCCCGTATGGCCGAATTTGGACGTAATTTGAAAATGAAAAAAAAAATGAAAATAAATTTGGGATTTTTTTTCCAACAACAGTAAGTTAAGGGTCCTCTGAGGTGGGCAGGAAATTCTCATAAAGTTTCAAAACGTTATGAAAATCGTTAATTTAAAGTGTCTTATAACCTCTGCGCGTGCGCCGGACGACTCAAATAGAAAACGGAACAGAACGTCACTTTTGTGAGTCGATTTCATTTCAAATTTCGTCCAAATTTAGCCATAGTGCCGCGCATACCAGCCAAAAGTGACGTTATTTTTAAGAGGACGGGTTGTATTTACAGCTGAGTATAACCTGGTAACAACATTATTACCACTGTTGTAGGGGGCCAATACTGCCTTCACACTGAACCAAAGGTGCTTTTAAAGACCTGGGGCCAGATTCACGAAGCAGTTACGCAAGCACTTACGAACCTGGGGCCAGATTCACGAAGCAGTTACGCAAGCACTTACGAACCTGGGGGGGGGGGGGGGGCAGATTTACGAAGCAGTTACGCAAGCACTTACGAACCTGGGGCCAGATTCACGAAGCAGTTACGCAAGCACTTACGAACCTGGGGGGGGGGGCAGATTTACGAAGCAGTTACGCAAGCACTTACGAACCTGGGGCCAGATTCACGAAGCAGTTACGCAAGCACTTACGAACCTGGGGCCAGATTCACGAAGCAGTTACGCAAGCACTTACGAACCTGGGGCCAGATTCACGAAGCAGTTACGCAAGCACTTACGAACCTG